CATTGTATGATATTGCATGAAATCTCCCGTATCTAACCATTGTGTCAAGCTGTTCAAATCTTTCTCTCGTGAATATCTCCCTAAGATGTTTTGGGAGTTGTGACTTCAAGTAGCTATCTACTTGGAAAGTACATTTGTATTTACTCAACCATTTCAGGTTACCTTCCTTACTAAGGATAGCTATATCAATTTGTGCATCTATATCCTTAATTCTTTGGGCAACTCTTATTTTAAGATTGTTCTCCTGTTACACAAGAGATAGGAAGACCACAGCTTCTTACAAAATTGGTTAGTTTAATGATCCAGGAGATTTGTGATCGTAGTTTTATTTGCTCTAGTAGGCATAATTTGGGTAGTCTATCAGTCTCCATTTCATTAACTTTGCACCTGTAGTCATAAACTCTAATTGTAGATAATGCCTGAATTGTATAAATTGCCAATTCAGCTCTAACTGCTGCAGCAGGTGTTCTTGGGTCTACACCCAAAATATATCTCAAATGCTGGGACTGTGTTTGTTCTAGGATTGTGCTTGAGTAAAGACCCCAAATTTCTGCTCCATACAAGAGCATTGTGGTAACCTTAGCCTTATAAACCTTGATGAATGGGACTAAGGACCCTGTATAACTATGTTTTTTTTAGTTTGAGCAAAAAATTCAAATGGGCTTTTGCTCTAAATGTACTCCGTTGATGATGGCAGGCCCAAGATCCAGTCTTGGAAAAAGTTACGCCCAAATATACAAAGGAATTAACCTGTTCAATTGGTTCGCCATCCAATTGCCACCTATGTCTCTGATGGTTTCTTCTACATAACATATATAAATCAGATTCTGCATGGTTTCCCCTTTTTAATTTCAAAAGGTTTATCTACAATTTCAGAAAAAAAGGACATATTAATCTACTCATTTAATCTTAAACCCTGATATTAATTCCATTTCATCTCTCCTCCTATATCATTTCATTTATTTCAGTATATTTAAAAGATTTAAAATATTTCAATATATTTAATAAATATATTCCATTATTAAACATATTCCATTATTATCTCTAAAGGAAAAGAGCATTGAATTCCATTATCAAAAATAGCAGTTCTATTTTCCATTTTATCAATCTATATGTCCCATTTCACAACTACAAATTTATTTATGTTACCCCCCCAGCACCCTGCAGAATCCTCACTCCAAATTCAGCCATTATCTCTATGTCTAATTAAACATTTTTCCCATTTCTTTAGAATTCCCACATTTCTTTGTTCCCAAATCCTGTTTCATATCCCTTCTTTCCTCTTGTATTTTCCCCTTTATTCTTTCACTCCAGTTTTTATCCCACTCTCTATTTATAACTCCCTTCCGCCCTTTGAATTTCTGCTGATTCTTTTTTCCCTTTTTTAATTTTCTGGATATTTCCAGATACTCAATTTCCCAAATCTTCAATATTTATTTCCAACTCTTTTCCTCTTTCTTTCCAGAGTTCTTTGTTCTTGATGGTAATTAAAGATGGCCCCTTCTATGCTTTGCTCCACCTCCTCTTCTGTCCTTTGTCTTTGTTGTTCATACTCTGCAATAGCATTTTCAATGAATTTTAAAGCAAAGCCCAGCATTTCACCTCATTCTTGTAATATTTCTTTTGTGTTTCTAAGTTCCATTTTTAATACCAGAAGAGATATTGCCATTTTACAGCTTTCTAATTAGCAATTTAGTCCAAATAGTGTCTTTAAAGTTAATTTCCAACAGTCAGCTTTTATTTTTTTCCTCTTAAGTTTTAATCCTCAGTTAATCCAATGCCAAATCCATATCAGCATCAACAATTAATCCAAGGGCAGAATCTTCCTGTTTCTTTCTTTGTTTCGATATTTCAATTTTTCAAAGTTCTTGTTTTATTGTATCAATTTTCCTTACAGTTTTAAGAAACAGAGTTTTTTGAAAGAAAAACAAGTTAGATTTAACTCAGATGGCACACTTTGTTCTGACAAGTCCACACCCCCTCTGTTTTTTCTTCCCAATTATTCAGAGCTTTTTAAACCACAATCTTCCAAAAAGATCAAATTCAATTGATATTAAATTTTCTCTTTAACGATCTATAGTTCAGCTTTATTAGTGCCAATATAAAATCAAAATATACTTATCCAAATTGATTAGATGATTCCTTCTCCAGCTTCTTCCTTTCTCGGTTCAAAGCCCCGCCGCTGTCAAAAGCAATTCACCTTTTTAAAATCTTCTATTTGCCATTTTAAGTCCTTTCTTGAAAATTGTTTGAAATGTTAATCCTGGGAGCAACATGGCTTATGGGAGAGAAAGGGCCCTGATCCCTTTCATTAGTTGCAGCTGGGAGAACAGGATATAAGAAGAGCATTTGCACACAGCACCTTGCTGGAAGCAAAGTGTGCATTATCTTTGTCAAGGCTTATCTGGGTTTTGGCATCCTCCCAATTGTGTGTGCTTTGTTATCTTTTGGAAGCCTACAATTTATTATCCTGGCCTATTGTGTTAATTACTTCAGCTTGGTTTGTGTTGGTTTTTTTTTATTTCTAATTTATCTCTACTTTGGTTTCAGACTGCATTTCTTCCCTTTGTAGATTGTTTTTGGAAGAGTTTGATCTCCAGCCAAGGATAACTGGACACTGGGGGCCAAGTTGGAGGTATTAAAGGGAATGTATCTAATTTTGTGACTTTGTTATTTTTGTGCCATGCCCCAGGTCATCACAGTCCTTCACTCATGAGAGAACTATCTTGTTTTGGCTACAAAACCTCATCTATCTCTACCTTCCATCAGCTCCAAGCTGTGTCAAGCTTGAAGCCATGTGAAAAGAAATCCCAATAGAGAAAACAAACAAACTACAGAAAAGAAAATGGCTACAGCCAGGGCAGCTTCAGGGTTGACACTGTCTCCTTAATTTTCATTTTTATATAGCTTCTTAAAAAATAATTGTTATCCTTTTACTGTTCATCAGTCACCCAGAATCATTTTATTGGTGAGATGAGCAACATACAAATGATAACTAATAATTTCCTGACAGTTAGAACAATTAATCAGTGGACTGAGTTGCCTCCAGAAGTTGTTGTACTCCAACATTGGATATTTTTAGGAAGACATTGGACAACCATTTGTCTGAAATGGTAGAGGGTTTCCTGCCTGAGTGTGTGTGGGGGTTGGACCTGAAGACTTCTGTGATAAATACCAAAAAAGAGACACGAAGCCAGGAACCATAAAAGCTTGTTTATTCAGCGTTTGCAAAGGCCAAAAAAATGGACCCCCTCTCCTCAAAGATAGGAGAATGGAGATCCTGCTCATAGGCTGGGTAAATACATTTATACTTTTCTTCATACAAGGTTTCATTCTTGTCACCTTTTTCCTGTTTCTCTCTGGTAAGCACCTATATCTACTGGTATTTTTCCACTAAACAGCACCCACTTATCTCATATCTTGGAAACCCCCTTCTAATGGCTTCTCTTTTCCTGTTGTGAATATCAGCATTTCTTAATTTTAGCAAACAAGACAATAGTTCATTATACAGTTCCATCAGGTCAAGGTGACCTGCTGAATATTTTACAAATATCTCTGCCAAAGGTTTGACATTTTCATGTTTAAGCCAGAAATTTGACATTTTTACAGAACACAAACAGCCTTGTTTTTATGATTATATAATATTCCAGTAATATTGCCATAGCTCATTAATAGGATAAATATGGCATTACTTATGTTTCTCATTTTCACAGGTTTAATCCTTAATATGTAATTTTTACATATCACAACTTCCAAGATCCCTTCCAACTCTGTTATTCTGTTATAATGATAACAACCAGGGGTGGGATTCAAATTTTTTAACGACTGGTTCTGTGGGCGTGGCTTAGTTGGTAGGCGTGGCTTGGTGGTCATGTGACATGGCTTGGTGCTCATGTTACTGGCTGGTCATGGCCAACTCAATATCATTCACATTGAGGCACGCATTTCCTCGCCTGGCCTCTCGTGACTGTGGGGATGCTGCAACAGTTGTAAGTGTCAAAAATGGTCATAAGTCACTTTTTTCAATGGTCACTCCACACAAGCAAAGTACCAGCAAAGGAAGGGAAAAAAAAACTCCAGAGAAGTTCCAGAGACATGAAGTCTGATCCTGCCAAGAATGTAATAAGGGATTAACAGAGAGGCAGTTTCTGTAAGCAACACCAGAATGTTTCCTTCTTGCCTTCCTTACAGGATTAGGCCAGTAATTTCTTCTAACAACCAGTTCTCTGAACTGCTTAGAATGTTAACAACCAGTTCTAGTGAATAGGTGAGAACTGGTCAAATCCCACCCCTGATAACAATATATTGAACCACAGACACCTTGCAATAAACTCACAACACAATCAGGAGAAAGAGGGTCAAACAGATAGAAACAGTAATATTTTCTGAGTGAGAAAACTTTGATGAGAAGGCTCACTTATTGGCTCCTCTTAAAAGTTTGAACCCCATCTGCAACTTTCCCTAGAGAGCATCTGCCTGTTGACTCATTCAGAATTCAGAGAAGTGACATCTCACCTCCTTGTTATAATTTAAATCATAGTAACTTGTTTGTAGTCTTGCCACACATCTCTCAAGGTATTTCTACAGACTTTCAGAACTTTTGCCACAAAGATATCAATAACAGGCTTTCTCCTCAATATCCCACTAGGGTTTGTGGGCTGATGTCATGGCACTGGAAAGTCTTGAGCGGAGATTTAAATGAGTCTGGAGACAGAGACAACCTGGGAAGGCTTTTAGGGCGGACAGAAGCTTTGTTTAATCCACTTTCAGCTTTGAAGACTCTGCTGGACTCTGGATTAGGAAGGTCCCTGAAGATTTTGTCTTGGAAGTCTTTGCTTTCTTCCTTTCTTGTTATTCTTTGTTCAAAATAGAATAGAATAGAATTCTTTACTGAACTCACAGTGATTGAACTCACAAAGAATTTGTCTTGGTGCAAATGCTCTCAGTGTACATAAAAGAAAATAAACACAGAACTGGAGGCTCCATCAGCACAACTAGTCATGTTGCTTCTCATCCTGCTTCAGAGGCCCCAGCCAGTCCATGGGAGGCTCGATCCCCAAAACCTCCTGAGTCCAAAGAGGGCAAAGTTGGAGTCAAAGAACCATTACAGGCCAGGAGAATTTCTCATTGGTGCCATGGTCTCTACAGTTAAGGTTTTTCTTCGGCCATTAAGCTTCACCACAACTCCTTCATCCCAAGCACACATGTAGGTTCATTTTCATGCACTGAATTACAGCAATTCCTTTTCTGAACAACTCCTAAGGTGAGCAGTCCTTGGTGCCCTCTGAGCTTGGTGTTTCCTTGCAGATTTTCACTAATCATGTTACCTAGTTTGGATAATGAAATGTCTGCAAGAAAACAACCAAACTCAAAGGGCACTAACGACCCCTCATTTTAACCCTGAGCTACAAATAATGTTATAATCTATAAAATTTCAATTTCAGTTGAACAGTGTGTTGCCTGGGTACATGTTATTTTAGAAAATAATGATCAAAATATTTACAGCAGTAGTCATTACATTGATATTAATTCTATAATAATAATGTTTGCTTATCCATTTTAACAAATCTCTCTTATAACATTAGTTCTTTTCTGATATTTCCATATTTTCAATTTCTGTTCTATTAGCCAACCATTGATAAAACAAATCCCATGTCAAAAAATATTCAGTTTCCTTCTTTTTCTTAATTGTCAATGTTAGTCTATCCATCTCTGCACATTCTAATATTTTTTTTAATTATGTTTTCATCTGTCGGGATTTCTTCTTTTGCCCAGCAAAAGTATTTCAGGTTTCAGATCTATATTTTGTCTTGTCATTTTTTCCAACCATGTATGTATTTTTCTCCAATATATTTTTTGCTTTTGGTAAAATGTTTGATAAGGGACTTTAAAATCTAAACATTTCCAGAATTTGATAACTTGTTGGTTTTGTTGATAGTGTGCCAATGATCCTTTCTAACTTTATCATTAATGAATCTATATTAAATTGGGAGATTAGGTTAAACTACTGTGAAGTATTTGAGAAGGTTATGGGCAATGGTGGCACAATGCTTAGAATGCAGTAGTTCAGGTTACTTCTGTTGACTCCTGACTACCAACACTTTGGCAGTTCAAGTCCTACCAGCTCAGGGTTGACTCATCCTTCCGAGGTTGGTAAAATTGAGGACCAAGCTTGTTGTGGGGTGAGAGGCTGACTGTGTAAACTGTTTAGAGAGGTCTGTAAGGCATATAGATCTATACACCAGTATATAAGTCTAAGTGCTATTGCTATTAATGAGAAGAGAAATGGGAAGAATGTTTAAAGTCAGTCCAACATTTCAGTAAGAGCGTAAGCATGCTAGCAACCTCAAGAGCGTATGCATATCCAGCATAAACAAAACTGTCCTTTCGAATATTTGGGATTTCTAGGGATACTTCCTACCCAATGTACATTACAGATTATTGGGTATGTCTGGCTTAATGAAAAGAGGGACTAACAGTGATATGACAGCAGTGTTCTGATAACTCAGGGACTACCACAAAGAAGAGGGAGTCATTCTCCAAAGCACCTGAAGGCAGGACAAGAACAGTGGATGGAAACTAATCAAATAGAGAAGCAACTTAGAATGGAGAAATTTCCTGGCAGTTAGAACTATTAATCAGTGGAACAACTTGCCACCAGAAGTTGTGAATGATCCAACAGTGGAAGTTTTTTAGAAGAGATTGGATAACCATTTGTCTGAAATGGTATTGAGTTTCCTGTCTCAGCAGGAGGTTGGACTAGAAGACCTCCAAGGTCCCTTCCAACTCTGCTATTCTATTCTATTCTATTCTATTCTATTCTATTCTATTCTATTCTACTCTACTCTACTCTACTCTACTCTATATATTATTTACATAGTATTTTGGTTTTTTAATGTACTTTTACATTAAACTTCTAGAATGTTGTAATACACACACATACATGATTAAATACAATCTTTCTTTAATTGATTATGTACATTTATACTTGTAGAAAATTAGTGACTGAAGATTGGAAAATCCTGTTCTTCCTTTTTGCCATCCAGAAAATCAACCAGGATTGCCAGATCTTACCCAACATCACCTTGGGCTACAGCATTTATGAAAACTATTACCATGCAGGAAAGACTGCAGATGCTTTGCTGGGGCTACTTTCAGATGGAGAGACCAAGATTCCCAACTACAACTGTGGAAGGCAGAGAAACGTACTGGCTGTTCTGGAAAGGGCTGATACTGACATCTCCATCCAGATTTCAACCATGTTGAGAACCTATAAAATACCACAGGTGTGTCTTTGTTTGGGATATCATTTTCTGTTGTGTGACATTCAATTAGAGATCCTCAGTTGTAAATTAAGAGAAGAGTGTCATTACAAGAAGGATACATGTTTAATTTTGCATGTAAAGTTTAAAATACTTGGTAAAGCCACACTTGGAATACTGCATCCAGTTTTGTTTGCCACAATGTGACTCTAAAAACAATGTGGAGAGGAGCAACAAAGACAATTAGGGGACTGGAGACTAAAACATGACAGGAAGGGTTGATGGAATTGGGTATGTCTAGTTTAATGAAATGAAGGACTAGAGATGACGTGATAGCAGTGTTCCAATATCTCAGGGACTGCCACAAAGAAGAGAGAGTCAAGCTATTCTCCAAAGCACCTGAAGGCAGGACAAGAAAAAACGGATGGAAACTAATCAAGGACAGAAGTAACCTCTCCTTCCTAACAGTTAGAACAATCAATCAGTGGAACAACTTGCCTCCAGAAGTTGTAAATACTCCAATACTGGAACTTTTAAGGAAGAGATTAGATAACCATTTGTCTGAAATGGTATAGAGTTTCCTGCCTAATCAGAGGGTTGGACTAGAAGATCTCCAAGGTTCCTTCCAACTCTGCTATTCTATTCCATATTCCATATTCCATATTCTATTCCATTCTGTTCTACCATCTTTTCATTCCTTTTCAGGTCAGTTACAATTTTGCTGCCGAGATTCTGAGCGATAAAGTTAGATTTCCTTTCTTCCACCCAATGCTTCCTGCTGAGGGATTCCAGTTTCCAGGGATGGTCAAGCTGCTCTTACATTTTCAGTGGACCTTGGTTGGTCTAATGGCACCAGACACTGACAATGGGCAGAATTTCATGAGGACAATGACTTCCATGCTGATGAGGAATGACATTTGTCCAGTTATAGCAGAAACCTTTTCCACATCTTACCGTAAGAAACGCATTGATCAGAATCCGTATCACAGTTGGAGACAAGTGAATGTTTTTCTTTATGCTGCAGATAAAGATATGATCACTGGGGGTGTTAGCATTCTACGAATAGTATTTAAATTCTTTGAACAACCTTTTATAGGAAAAGTGATGATTACAACGATTTGTTGGGACCTCACCATCTATTTTATGGGTTTGAAGTTTCCGTTTCAATTCATTGACAGCATTTTTTCCTTCCTTATTAAGGGAAGCCAAATGGCAAAGTCTCTTTTGCCTGTGGATTTTTACTATTTCATCAAAAACATAGCAGAAACATCCTTTACATGTTCATACTCCAAGGATACCTTTTCTATGAAAGTCTGGAGACGTTGCAGGGAGACAGAAGAACTGGAGTCTCTGTCCCAGGAAAACAGCAATGTGATCCAGTCTCTGGATGGCTATTTAACTTATAACACAATCTGGGCTGTGGCACAAGCCATCCATGCAGCCTCTATGGCTAGTTCTAAGAGGACAAGGATCAAAGGGGGTCAAAACATGGAAACACCAAAGCTGAAAGGATGGCAGGTATTTTTTTTCTGTCTCAGAATCCATTTCAGAAGTGAAAAAAGTAGGCAGTTATTTTTGAAAAACTGATTTATTTTGACTATGAAAAATAAAATGAACCCCAACTTTCCAGTTCTGTCTTTCTTTCATTCCTTTCGCTCCTTTCCTGTTTGTTGCAATGTATCAACTCCATTATGAGAGGAAAGCAGAAAGGAAAGAAGGAAAGGAAAGATATTGAGATTCTAGAAAGAGTACAAAAAAGAGCAAGAAGAATGATTAGGGGACTGGAAGCTAAAACATAAAAAATATTTACTGGCATTAGATATGTCTAGTTTAATGAAAAGAAGGACTAGGAAAGACATGATACCAGTGTTCCAATATTTGAAGGGCTGCCACAAAGAAGATGGAGTCAAGCTATTCTCCAAAGCACCTGAAGGCAGGACAAGAAGCCATGGGTGAAAACTAATCAAGGAGAGAAGCAACCTAGAACTGAGGAGAAATTTCCTGACAGAACAATTAATCAGTGGAATAACTTGACTCCAGAAATTGTGAGTGTTCTAGCACTGGACATTTTAAAGAAGATATTGGATAACCATTTATGTGAAATGGTATAGAGTTTCCTGCCTGAGCAGGGGATTGGACTAGAAGACCTCCAAGGTACCTTCCAATTCTGTTATTCTGTTGTTGTGGAAGGAAGGAAGGGAAGGAGGGGAAGGGAAGGGAAGGGAAAGGAGGGGAAGGAAGTAGGAAGGGAACAGTTATAGGGAGACATGGAGAAGAGATGACATAGTGCACAGCCAGAAGGAGAGGTGAGAAAGAAACTGTGACTTGATATTAAGGATAATTTCAGCCCGTTTAGGTAAGCTACTCAAGAAACAGATACCACAGGGAATCTGGATTTGGGTAATACCATCTTAAAGCCTATCCAATTTTCTCTCTGTCATAGCTCACCTTGTTTGTCTAGATCATGTAAATTTGAAGTAAATTAAGGTTAGAGTTAGCCATTGAATTTAGAATGTCCTGTCTAAATATAGCCAGTTTTTCTTCTATTGCAGCTCAATTTCTTTCTTCAAAACTTTCAGTATTACAATAACTCCATAAATGGAATGTTTTTGGAAGAGAAAGGAGACCTCTCAGCAAACCTGGATATTGTGAAGTGGGAGGCTATGGTCAACAAATCCTTTAGGAGAGTTATCTTTGGGAGTCTAGAAAAACAAGGATCTTTGGATTTCAAGGTTATGATCCACCAGAATGCTGCTGCAGAGATGGAAGGGTTGAAGAAGGTGGGGTTAAATCTTAATTTCACTTTTCTTGATGTTCTTACCTAGAAGATCACACTCTTGGGGCAAGAAATGCCTCTGAATGTCAGTCTAAAAAGGACAGTGTCCCAGGAAGACTAAATATTCATTAATTAGATGTCCATGAGAAATGCATCCTCAACTATTCCAATAAAGAGCATATTAGACTTGTGAAAAGGGAGGAAGATTTGAGCCACAGTGGGAAGTGATTTCTATGCTTTTTCTTAGAAGAAACCTTCTATTCAGTATTTAATACAAAATGTTCAAATCTAGAAATCATCATGTGTGAAAAGTTAGAAGAGATGATCTACAGGAAAGCTTCAGGGAGCCCAGGGGTCTGCAACCTGCATCTCTGGAGCCACATGCTGCTCTTTTGGCCCTCTGCTGTGGCTCCCTGCCAGCTGATCCCACCATTTGGCTGGCCCTTCCTCTCCCCTATACTACTCGCCTGGCCTGAGAAGAGAAGGATGATGGCAGGGGATGGAGACTGGATCCATATTCCAGAGCAGGAGGTGACTGGGTGGGAGTGAGTTGGCCACGCCAACCCAGTCACACCAGTTGTTAAATTATGGGCTCCTAGTGTTTTCTTTTCTGTGGGAAATGGGTCCAAATGGCTCTTTGAGTGTTTAAGGTTGTCGACCCCTGAGGCAGCCTGTTCAACTTAATGAGATTCAAGATTTTATCGCCTTCAAATTTAGCCAAGCTGAACCTTCCTCTAGAAATCACCAATCCCTTTCTCCTTTGCCTTCTTTCTGGAAAGAAATTTATTTTCTGGATTTCTCTCCTTTCTCTGCCCAGACCCTGCCTCCTTCCCAATGTGTGGAAAGCTGTGTTCCTGGATTCATGAAGGTAACTCAGGAGGAGAAGCCCATCTGCTGCTATGACTGTCATCCTTGTGCAGAAGGATCCATCTCCACCAAGGCAGGTCTGTGACCAAGAGAAAGGGGCAGAGGTTTGGATAACATCAGCAAAAATTTGGCTTTTAAAATATCCACTTTATAATATGTATAATATGTTTAATAATGAAGGATAAGAAATGTCCTTGGAAATTAAACTGGGGGACAGGACATGAAAAGATACTGGAATAAGGAGGCCTTAGCATTATTAGAAAGGTGACATCTCTTTCTTTTCGTCTTCAACATGCATCTTTCATGTGTCAGCTAAAAAGCTTTGGTCTTTTTAGCTTCCAGACAAAGGGAGTGGGGGAAAACAAGGAATTTTTGAAATGCCTAAATAATCACCTCGGCAGCCTAAAGTTGTTGGAGCATAAGAAGACTATTGGAGAGCATAATAAATGACTCTTGGAGATGAACGTGTCCCATTGGAGAAGTCACATCCAGGGGGTAGGGGGAAGACCAGGGTCAAGGGGGAAATGTATGATGTAATTTAGTATCGGCTGCACCCAGTCACATGCCAACATGGCAATTTCTAATAAACCAATTTACTTTTTCTGAGATGTAGCTAGAGACTTTTGATTTGAATGAGAGTGGATTTGTTGGAGCGCTGACATCTCTCTTATACACTTATACTTCTCTTTTATACATCTCTTTTGGCTGAAGAGGCAGAATGTCCAAGATATAATATAATTACTTTGATCAGGTCTTCCTACAAAAGGGGTGTCAAATTCATGGCCTGCAAACTGGACGCTTCATGTGCTGACCATGCCCACCCCTGGTTTAGTGAAGGGGGAAAAGTCATGATACATCAAGTGATGATGTGACACCATGAGTTTGACACCCTTGTCCTACAATTATCCATGTCTATGGACACCACTTCAATGTGGCAGCCAAAGTTTATGGCTTCAGATATCCTGAGGAGCCACAAGACAAGCAATTTTCATTTTCAACTTTTCTGTCATGTATAAGAAATTAGGAACTAGGGTAGTGTTCAAAAGTACTGCAAGTTTTATTTCATGCTACCTATACACATGCTACCTAAACCATTAAGGGTCAAAGCAAATTGGTGGTAGATAAGAGTCAATGGATTTCAAGGAAGGTTGGATTTAGATTTCTTACAGGGGCAAAGAGACTCCAAACTGATGGTGCATTTGACCCCGCCTTTGGGCTCAACCTGCTCATCTCCCACATCTTTCTTGCTAGTTCACAAAATCCAGACTATCCCACTCTCCAAAATGGCTCCTTTCCTTCCTTCCTTCCTTCCTTCCTTCCTTCCTTCCTTCCTTCCTTCCTTCCTTCCTTCCTTCCTTCCTTCCTTCTCTG